ATTTTGCTTGCTGTTCAATCAATGCACTGAGAAGACTTACAGTTACTTACATTAGATTCCTGCAACTAGCCGAAAAAAATATGTAGAAACAATAGCAGAGGAATGGCTAGTGACCTCATGTAATAAAAGGTTCATTAATGAGCTATAGTTATGTTTTGTAGTTTGCTCATTGAAAGAGATCTGTTTGGCCAATACCAGCAGTTGTTCCCATTTAACAGAGTTGTTTTAAGCCAAACAAGGGAAGTGTTTAAGACCTTTTGCTGATGAATACTGGAAGATTCTTGCAGTATTCATCAGCCTTCCTGATGAATCTTCCAGTATTCCCTTAGGTTGACTCCTGTTGGAAAAGCTTTCTGTGTGAATTATATGCTCTAGTTTTATTTATTATAATTTTTTAAAGCCTTACCCAGTGAAAATGCAAAGAAAGCTGTGCCTTTAAGGTATGTGGGAGAGTGTTGCACATTACAATCAACTCTTCCTGAAGATTCATTTAGCGTCTGATTGTACTCTTTGCAGGGGAATGGTGTGGAATTACTTTTGAAATACATTATTCATTGAGTAGATGTAGGGGGAGAAGTTACTGAATTGTGATTTCTGTGAAAAATCTACTGCTGTGAATTGGTGTGTGCATTATTTATATCTATGCAGTGGGTCTTTACTGTATTACAGAGCCATGAAATAAGCATAACAGCCTATAGAAGAGAGCAGAGGACTAGATTGCTCCTTTCTCAAAGGGAAGGATCCTGGAGTCTTTTAACTAATCTAAAACTGGAGATTTGATATCTGGCAGTTGAATAATTGATTTTTGCAAGTTAGCCTATGGAAATAAAAATTCTAGTAACAGAAATTCAGTATGGAAGATTTGTTGTTTCCATTCATTTTCTTTAGATGGCAACCATTTGAATTTGCTTTCATAATATGAATATGATGGAAGCAGTGTGTATAATTGGCAACAGAAAGTGCTTAATTTCTAAAAGAACAAGTAGCAGACTTCAATTTGGCCCGCTTCATACCTAAAGAATATGATTATTTTTCTTCCCCATTGTACAACTAATACATGTTCAAGATAAGAAAAATGTTATGGCCAAATTTACACTCAGCCATAAAGCACAATGGAATCTTGAGTATTTCACTTTCCCCTCAAGTTTGCAGTGTCTGTTTTGAAATGACACATTCACACCAATTTCCCTGACAGTATTTCTGCCTCAATAGAGCCTGTGAATATAATCACTATAGGCCTTCCACACCTTGGTCAAGTCCTATTCTCAATTTTTGATAGCTACAGTAATCTCTGTTTTGCTTAGTCCAGCTTCACACACTGTACTGGAGAATGGATCTGGATCATCTAGGTCCTGGTTTAATGCTGCTAGTGCCTCGCAATTTAAAAGTAAGTCAAAGTGCTGTTTCCAGTGTTGTAGCACTTTGACTGTCATTTTAGCCACTCACACTGGCACATTATGGATGCTGGTGCTAGGTCAGCTGTGCTTGTCTGACGGTGCTTTCAAGGGTGAGAAGAGAGTCCCTTGGTCACTGCACCCAGCTTTGACTCCACCTCTGCAGCTATGCCATCCCAAAAGTCTACTTTTCACTTTTCAGCTTTTTGAGAATTTGTTTTGTCAGCTTTTTGCCGGTGGATTTGCAAGCTTGACCACAATTCTTTCTTGAATCAAGGCACTGATGTCATCCATTATTCATTTTTTATTACATCTTTTCTGCATGCAAGAGCAAATAGTTTCTATTGCCATGTTGATGGTGTTTATAACTTCAAATCACTGTTTCTCCACATTGACATAATGCTCATTTGGTTGCAGGGTGACAAGTCTGTGGCTTCTTGGCATTATTCAAATCACTAAGTTCAGCTGAAGCTGAGTGGTAGATGGCAGTGTGGCACAGATTTCAATTTGATCTTGCATTGAATCAGATGATGGTTAGACATCACTGTACTTTTGCACCTCTCAACACCCTGACATCATTAACAGCAGACTTAAAGCCCCTTCCTATTAGGAAATAATTGATCATAGAAGCAGCATTTAGTACTCATGACTACCAAGTTAATTGATGAATGGGTTTGTCCCTGAATAGGCTGTTCCAAATGAGTAGTGGGTTTAATTGTACCCATTATCATTCATGCTACCAGACGCCTTCCCAGCCAAGCTGCAATTTACCAATCTGTGCATTTAGATCACCTGCCAACATGAAGAGTCCTCTTTATGGCCTTCATTTATGATGCTGTATAGTTCAGTGTAAAAAGGGTCTTTTGTCATCAACTATTCACCTCGGTTGATGCATAGGCCACAATGATAGTAATCAGCACAGTTTCACTGAAAGTGAATATGGCACTACAGTTTGAAATTGCTTCAGATGACGTTATCAATTTGTTGTACCTATTGTTGACTATGAATCCTACTCCCCACAGCAGAAGTTCATCACAGAATAATACCGGTGCATGTGTTCAGAACTGTTTATGCTGCAAATAACCTTCTTGCCAGATCCAGACAATTATATTTCAGTGAAAACGGCTAGCTAAGAGTTGTATTTCGGCAATTTGTACAACCTTGCTCCAGTTTCCCCACTTGGGCACCACATAAGATGTTCCACGTGGCAAAGTGAACAGTGTTCTTTGGTTTTCCAAATTTCTGGGTAGCATCCAGGAGCTCAGGCCTGTGCCACATCCTGTAGCCAACAGCACTGCAACAGGCACAGCCAGCCATACACTTTATCCAGACACAATGGCATTTGTTTGACATTCATTTGGGACACATTGCCGTGGTTATGTGCCAATACATTTTATACCACTCAGTGGACAGCAACCATAGTACTTAGCTCTGTGATGACCATTGGTCCAGCATCCATTGTCACCCCTTTGGTGTCCTGAGCTGACTGGATGGAAGGAATGCTTGAGGAACAAAATATATGGTTGTTTTCACTGAAGATAGGAATAGTTGGCCAGTCCTTTTTAAGCCTTATTTTCAAAGCTCACCATCACAGTCACACACTTATGAGTAACCACTGAATATTGAACCCTACATGGCCATCTGCATATATTTAGCAGTTTGGTTTTTTTATGAATCTGAGACAGCCCATTTGGCCTCCCAAATTAGTGCCTTACATCTGTTTTCAACATAAGTACAAATGATAACATACAAGCCATTTTGTAGCAGTAGCTTTATGCAGAGAAAACATCAGCTCAGTGATGTCTCTAGAACAGAGCTCTAGTGTAGATGTGACCCTGTGATCTTGGGCCTGCCATATCTCTCAGCATAATCTACCTGGCCTTACAGCTGGTTTTGTGAGGATAAAACTCAGGTGGGAAAAGAGCAAAATAATTCTATCCTGAACCCCTTGGAGGGAAGAAGAATATAAAAAGGTTACATAAATATATTTAAAGTCTGCTTTATTATTCATTATTTCAAGGGTTCAGTTTGGGCACTAAAAATAAATCAGGACCAAATTGCAAGGTGAGATGAGATAAAAAGCGTAATATTCTTTGACAGCTATACACTTACAATGTGGCTTCCTATTTTTTTTTCTTTCCTCATTTGTAATCTCTGTTCAATTACTACAATGCATCTGTTAGAAAGGAAAGGAGAAAAAAAAAACATTAATATCTCTGTTGATTGCCCTGTGAGGTCCTTGTCCTCAGCCAGACTTTATGAGTCTGAGGTTTAAGAATGTGGGATTCTCCTTTGTAACAGTAAAAATAATTAATGAACTCTGGTGCAGCTTGTTTTATTATGTATCTAAGAGAATAGCTGTGGTTCAGCAATGAGCTTTAGTGAGAACATACACTTTGTGTGAAACACCCCTGGATTCATTCTAAAGGTAGTGTAACAGGCCCCTGAAATTTCAAGGTAAGGCCACAAGAACCTCTCATATAAGGTTTTGCCAATTACTGTTGGCAATATGTGATTGTACTAGCTGGGAATCTTGAAAGTAATAGAACATCAGGTTGGAGAAGCTGGAATAGGGTTATGTAAATTTGTAAATATTTTCACACCTGACACACTTGTGACAGAGCCATTAATAGAAATCAATTCCCCTGCCTTTTCATCAAATTCTTTTTTGTGCCCCTATCTGTTGTGCATGCAATTTGCTTACAGAATTAGGCTACAATTCATCAAGCTACATTTTCCTAAATTTGAGTAATACACCAGGCACTACAACTG